AGTGGAGTATTGTGTTCAGATTCATGTGCCACACTCTAAGAAAGATGTGAACAAATTAGAGAGAATCCTCAGTGCAGCAACAAAAGTGATAAAAGTGTTAGAAGTCATGACCTATGAAGAAAGGTTAAAACAACTGAGCATGTTTACTCTTGACACAAGCAGACAAAGGGTTGGTCTGTTTTCAAATAAGTTACGGTCTGTTATAAAAAGGTCTGTGATTAATTGTTCTTCATGTCTACAGAGGTAGGACAAGAAGTCATCAGCTTAATATGCAGCAAGGGCGATTTATTAGATATTTGGAAAAATTGTGTATTCTAAGGCTCCAGGGGGTAGCCAAGTTAGTCTGTACAGGATAAACTTAAAAACAAAAAACTGGTCTGGTAGCACTTTATAGTAACAAAACATGTAAATGGTATCATGAGCTTTTGTGGGTACAGCCCGCTTCTTCAGATGACTGGAGTTTTGAGTTTAGGATGTGCAGACCCAAAATAAATAAGGGAGAAGGGGGAAGAAAAAAAAGGAGGGGGAGCAGGAAACAAGGAGCAGACGTTATGAAAAAATCAAAGGGAAAAACAGGAAGGCAGAAGGGTCATCAGTATACACCTGGGCTGTGTCTAGTCTGCATCCCTTTTCCGTAAAAGGGATGCAAATTAGACACATCGCAATTTAAATCCCCCCCACTTCATTTGCATAAACATGGCTGCTGCTTTTTTCCGGCTCGGAGCTTTGCCGGAAAAAAGCACCAGTCTAGACGGGGATCTTTCGGAAAATAAAGCCTTTTCCGAAAGATCCCTTATTCCTTTTTTAAAGAGCCGTTTGCACCTTCATTGAATGTTAGGTTGGTAGTCCTTTGGGGGGAAAAATAAACTAGGAAATAAAATTATTGGTATTTCTATTATAAAGAAGAAAAACAATTTAAACAAATCTTTGTCTTTATTTTTTTATATAGGAGCAGTACATTTAGATGATGGTTTTTGCTTGTGTGTGTTGTGTTTCATTTTTAAAGAAAGAAGGAAATGGGCTTCATCTGTAGGTTGCTGGCATTCTGCTGCATTCTCATCAACTACTATAGTGGGCCTCAAGTTCTTCGAACCAAGGACTTTTAACCCAGCTCTGTCCATTCCTGGGGGGTCCTGTGATTTGATCTAATGAGGCACAAGTTATGGTTATACAGTATCTTTTGTTGTTTTTGACCATGCTGCTAGAGAAAACAACTTTGATTTAAAACAACTTTTCATGGTGACATTTTAATTAATTTATACTAAAAATTGCTACATTTTAAAGGTCAAAATCCAAATAAAATGTTTTGAAATTATCAAAATATTTTTCTTGACCAGCTCAAATATGATTATTCTCTTCTGATTTTCATTTGCAGAAATATTTGCGATTTTTTTTTTACTTTTTCTTCCATTTCAAGATTGAAATATTTTTTAAAAAATCTCTAAAACTCTCCTGGTATGGCAAAAAGGTTTTCTGCCCAGTTCTATGAAGTTGGCAAGAAACATGAATTGTAATGGGGATTTGGTAATGTTCAAACGTGATCTTCACATCTAAGCAGCACAGCGAAAGGAATTAAAGGAAACTTTGGCACAGTTGGGATAATTAGCCATCTTTCGTTTGCATGTACCTGAGGTATCTTTACATAAGATTTTTACATAAGAACAGCCATACTGGATCAGACCAAACATCCATCTAGCTCAGTATCCTGTCTTCCAATGGTGGCCAATGCCAGATACCGCAGAGAGAGTGAACAGAGCAGGTAATCATTGAAGGTGCATCTATACTGCATCCTTAGCTTGAAATAAGCTACGCAAATTGCTTAGTTTATTTTGACTTAATTTCAAAATAGCTTATTTAGAAATTTGGCACTGTCTACACAGCATCAAATTTGAAAATAGAGCACTATTCCAAAACCTGGAACAAGGTTTACAGGGATGTAGGAATAGCTATTTCGAAATAACAGGTGCACTGTCAAGATGTGGAAAAAGCTATTTCGGGATACCGAAAGTATCCCCAAATAGTGCCACTGTCTAGACTCAACCTGAGTGATTCCTTTACTGTCATCCATTTCCAGCCTCTGACAAACAGAAGCTAGGGACACTATTCCTACCCATCCTGGCTAATAGTTTAAAAGATGGACCTAACCTTTTGTTTTTGTTATAAAAACAGCAGCTTCACAAAATTTTACCTTGAATGAAAGAAGGTATATTAAGGGAAGATAGACAGGATTATTGACTTTAAAATCACATAAATGTGTCCACATCCTCCTGACCTAGTAATAGACCATGTGTGGACTGAGGTTAACATTCTGAATAGTCTTTCCTGATGATTTTTGTTGTTATGAAATGACGTATGATTGAGCCACTGAAAAATAGAACGGTAATTATAGATCATGAGGAAGAAATGAGGTACTTTGAGTGATCTGCTGAGAACTTGTGTAGCAAGTTTTGTTCCCATGGCCGGACATATAACAATTTTCAGAAAGTGTCTGTAAACTAAGAGTTATGTGAAATTGGATTAAATAGAGACACATTTTAGAACTATTTTTCTTTGGTGAAACTTGCTTCTGGGCAGACAGGACAAGGGTTATGCATCATGTAAGATTAGCCTCAACAACCAGAAGAGGAAAATTGTACATAGCC